AAAGAGTGTGGGAGGTAGATAAGGGTAAAGGGGGTCAAATATATGATGACAGAAGGAAATTTAACTTTGGGTGGTGAACACACAATGCAATGTACATATGACATATTATTGAATCGTACACTTAAAACCTATATAATTTTATTAACCAATGTCACCCCAATGAATTAAAAAATATATTTTGTTTATAAAAAAAGAAAATATAGTAATACATAAGAAATGTCTATTAGAAAAATAAGAAACTTCTTTGACAGCATTTATGGATGTTCTTTCGCCTTTTTGTGATAATTAAGGAATTGTGGATGTGAGCACTAGAGAATCTGGCTTTTTAATAATACATCAAATTTCCATAGATGATTATTTATTTTTTTTTGCAAAATTCTGTCCCTTTTGTTTCTTCATTTTATTTTCATAACCTCTGTGTTATGTATATAATGTAGATATTTTTGTGACATTTTATCACTGTATAAATAGGCACAGAGAAGTCAGTCAAATGAAGATGTGGCCAAGAGGTCTGTCTCCCCACAGGTAGACAGAGTAAGAACCTGAGCACTCTTTTTTCTATTCTGCTGTTCAGAGAGATTTACAGTGTCTGGAATGGTGTATACCTGTACTTTTTCACATATTACTTTCTCCTCCTATTTTATTTATTTTGTTTGTGTTTCTTGTCTGTGATGAATATCTTGAGTCTTCCAAACTCCAGCTCTTCCCCTCTGTCCTTTAAACAATAAATTCTCATTCTCATCACTGTGTGTGTGTGTGTGTGTGTGTGTGTGTGTGTGTGTGTGTGTGCACGCGCGCTCGCGCGTGCTCTCTCACGTGCGCATTTGGTAACTTAAATCTTTTCTTCTTTATTATTGGGCCCAGTCCTTGATTTATTTAATCTCTTTAGGATTTATCAGAATTGTCTAGGTTCAAAAGGATCTGTCTTGAGAAAACAGTAATCCAAGTGGTCTGCCATATTCGCTTAAAAATTTTGACTCTGGGTATATTACTTTTAGAGTAAATAATCAATGTCTTGTTCATTTTCATTACTTAGATCAAATATTATTTTACAAATATGGGATTCAGTGCTGCCTCTTGGCTACTAAAAGTTTCCTCTTTCAGGACAAATATTGCTGCAGGTGTTACAGGTAGAAAACAATAAGGTACTTGGGGTCTTTGTTTACTAGAACTTCCTCTGGTTATGAGATTTTTAAGCCATCTCTTACAGTTTCCTTACTTAAAATTCAGAGTTTTTGTTTTGTGATTTTGGAAGGTAAGTTCCCAATATTACCTGGATTTGAAGATGGACAGAATTTTGGTGAAAATTAATACTGAGAATTCAATATTATTTTCTAGAAATAATACCAAATTTTCTAGAAATCAAGTTAAATTACTTGGTTTTACCTGATTTGCCTTTTTTCTCCTCAGGCATTTGGATTCAATCCCAAAATTGACAACTATGTTGAGAAGGCAGTTGCTGTATTTGGTGGATTTTACATCCTTTTCTTTTTTGAAAGAATGCTTAAGATGTTATTGAAGACGTACGGTCAAGTGAGTGGACTTTATTTAAAATGTTTGATATTTTACCTGCCAAAGCTACTTTATGTAGGCAAATAAAGGCAGGAATTTTATTCTTAGAATTATGTGAACTGTCCATTTATTAGATATGTGAATGTAAGGAGAAGGAAAAGAGTTAATATATTGATAAATATAAGAGAAACACTTGATTTATATTGTAGAATCTAGAGTCAGTACTAAGAATTTAATGTTGACTAGCAGATGTGCATAACTTGTATCCCATTCCATTCAACAACATAAGAAGGTACATGTATTCTAACATGATAAAACGAAATCATCAGAACCTAGTAATGAGGACACCTTTAAAGGGAAAGAAATTTTATATATCTAAAAAGATCAGAGTATACATTGAATAGACATAAATTTTGTCTCTTATGAATAAAAAGCACTCAAGTCTATTCTTTTGTCTGTATATATTTTTCCTTCTTATAACCACTTTTTCCTTTTTTTTAAATTTTATTTTCCCATGTAGAATGATCATACCCACTTTGGAAATAATGACTTTGGTCCTTCTCAAGAAAAAACTCATCAACCTAAAGCATTGCCTGCCATCAATGGTGTGACGTGCTATGCAAATCCAGCTGTCACAGAGCCTAATGGACACATCCATTTTGATAATGTCAGCGTGGTATCTCTACAGGTATAGTAATTCCATTTTCTTTTTACTAACAGCCAAGTCAGTATTCCGTACATTTAAATGGGCCAGACTTATTCTGTATATGTGGGGTAAGTAAATGTAAGTCTGCGTTCTTTTTCAACCTTCCCTCTATATATTTACTCTAAACAAGTGAGTTAAGCAATAAATTGTGAATTATTGTGTCTGAGACTTAATTATTCTCTAGGATTGTTCAACTATATAATGGTCATTTAGAGTTATACAATAATATGTACCAAAATTAATCAGAGCATTTCTCTTATTTTGCAATTCTTTCATCATCCAAAACCAAATAATCCCTTTGAATGATTTTGAAACTGCAAAAAGAAAGGTTTGTAAGCTATTAAAATTATGTTTACTATTGATTTAAAGTTTGTTTTCCCGTCTTCTAAATAGTGTTAATAGGTATCATTTTTTTTTGAATACATATTATATACCAAGTTATATGCTAGGCATTTAAATATTTATCTCACTAACTTTTTACAACAACTATTCAAAGTAGTGTTAATTTTATTCATATTAAACTATTTCAGTTTCAAGTGATGGAAATCAAATCCAAATTATGTATGCAAAAAGGAGAATTCATTTGAAAGATAGTGGTCCAATGGAACAGTCAAACTACAGCAAGAGCAAGAACCTACAAACCATTACAACCATTAAGACTTCTTCTTCCTCATGCATCTTAGTGTCATTCTTTTCTTTTACTGTGGATGAGCTCACTGAGATTTATGTCTTAGAATTTTAGCTATAAAGGGAAATTGACTTGACTCTTTCATTCTTAAGTCCAAAATTCCTGACAAAAGTCTCCTTGGTCCAGCTTGAATTAGATGTCCACTTCTAGTACAAGGGTTGGGCCCCTTGTATGGCCCCAAAGGAATAGGGAGACAGTAGAGGAGTGATTATTAAAAAGGGATGCTGGGATGATAGTGTCATTGGTATCCACAACAATTCTCATTTGACAGATTAGGGAAGGGGAGCTCTAGATGTTTAACCTTTCCAGGGTCACTCGGCTTGTAAATGATGGATACATAAGCTACAAAGTTAAATACAGTGTAAAAGAGAACAATTCAAAATAAAATCAAAAGGAAAGCCAGCTAAGAAAAAAAAGACATAAAAAAGGTATCTGGGAGAGATTATTATAGAAAATGACCTGAGTGTCCTTCTGGAAAGAAAACTTAATTGGTCATGTACTTCTCTTCAACTGATTAAGGAAACTCTCAAGTGTATTTGAAGAGGCAGTTTTTTTGTTAGCACCAAGCTGAGAGAAAAAATTATTTCATGCAATGTAATGAATGACACTATCAACCAAGATTTTGTGAAGAATATGGAAATGTTCAAATAGGTAATTCCTTATAATAATCACAGCTAACATTTATTAAATACTCAAGGACTCCACCTAAACTTTAGATGAGTGATCTTGTTTGATCCTCATACTAACCTAGGAGATAAGCACTATTATAATTAGGAAACTGTGGCTTAGAGAGTTTAAGTAACAAACCCAAGGACACATAGCTCCTAAAAGGAGAAGCTTGGATTAAGCCCAAGCCTGTCTGATGCTGAAGGCTGTGCTCATCTACTTTGCTGAATTATATTCTTCGTGTCGCTGCTCTACTAAAATCAAGATGATAACATTGACTCTTAACTTAATATATATTAATTTTTGTAGGGGGAAGAAGATAATCTGGCCCAAGGGTATTGCTTTCTGAGGACAAATAAATAGAATTGCTCAAAAGTTTGACTTTAGTTTTGAAGTTTTAGGGCTCTTTGTTTATGATTCACTATGGCCAGAAGACATATTTATAGTAAATACAAGCACTATGACAAAGTTGGGGCCTTAGACATGATCCTGACTTACATAATTTAGAAATATCAATCAAAAGGCCATCCTTTCTCTACTTCTGGTAGCAGTGCTAGTATACAGGCTTTCGTTTATTTATTCAGTGAACGTTTATTGATATGTGCTCACTGTCTTAGGCACTGGGGATTCAGAAGAAGCAAATACATTCTTGTGGAGCTTATAGTTTATTCAGCAGAAATAGACAATATAGAAAAGAATAAATAAGAAAATATCAGGTAGCAATAAATACTTTGATGAAAATAAAACTTGGTGATGTGTGACATGTGGTATTTTCTTTGACTTAATGATCAAGAAAGGTCCCTTAAGAGGTCAGTAGAGAATTGGATAATGAGAAACAAGAGCTAGCCATGTAAATATCTGGGAAAAGAATGTTCAGAAAGCTTTGAGAATTATCAAATGGGTCACATACAAGGGAACTGGAAGCTAAATGGCACTGGACTTCCGGACGTCAATGCTGGAGACCACTAGCACAGTTTCTTCAATATTCTGAGTAAGAATAGCTGTGGAGTGGCACAGCAAGGTGAACTACCAATCTAGTGAGAGGGTGGAGTAAGGCTTGGTTGCTGAAAATCTACTTCTAGGAATAAGAAGTCCAACTGAAAGCAGAGAATGTAGATGTCAGGATGATATGTCTCAGGCCTAACACTGATTTCTCATGGGGACTATTTTTTGGCTATTTTGGTTAAAAGTATAGTCTTGAATGAAGAGAGATTTAAACAAATTGAGCAAAATGCTGTTATTTTCAGTTTTGTCTTTATAGTACATTAAAAAACTGAAAGAAGCAGAACTTAAGAAATACCATAGTCTAGCTATTGCTTTGAGAAACAGTAGGTATTATAAGTGATATCGATTTTAATAATAAAATTAAAATATTTTCTAATATTTTATAAGATACAAATAATTTAACCTAGGTGGCTCCATTACAATGATTGAACATAACATGTAAAATTCATGTTCCTTTCTGAGTCCAAGGATTGCCTTAAGAATTCTTGTTTCTACTGCTTTAACACACTGAAATTTTTCCAAATTGAAAATAATAAGAAATGATCTAAGAGTGAGTTAAGAAAAGTAGTCTAATTTGACATTGCTATCAATAGAACACAAACTGAGTGACAATCTAGAATATATCAGCATGATTCTTGATTTTGCTAGAATGTAGGAGGAACTAAAGAACTATTACAGAATAATTAAAATGCATGACTCAGGGATGTCTCTATTAAAATTCATCTAAACAATTCTGATCCATCGTAGAATATTCAGATATGTAATAATATTTAAGTTTAGTTGTCTTTGGTATTTTGTCTATATCCAGTCATATAAAAATTATGGCTTTACACAAATTAAAAAAAAAAAAATGTTGCCGTTGAAGCACATTTATCATGGTAGGAAGATAGCAGATATTTTATTTAACAGTTTGTTAGCTTGATTATAACTTTTAAATATTTAGACAAATCATATGACACTTCCTTAGGACCCTTGCTCTGGACCTGGTGAATGTTGGACACCACATTGCAGGTGGTGCGTGGAGTGTGTGTGTGTGTGTGTGTGTGTGTACATGTGTGCACATGCAGGAGCTTGCATATTTTCAGGGAAAAGTGAAAGTAATGAGGGAATAATAAGAGGGCAGTTATGAGGGAAGAAAGAAGCACAGGACTTCATTTCTCCAGTGGGTCTTTTGCCTGAATCTAAGCTTTGGAAGGACTTTATCAGGTGTTGATTCCTTAAGAGTGTTAGGTACTTTGGGAAGTGTTAGCTCTTCAAGGCCACTAGAGGGCCCATCAAGTTCATTTCTCCTGGACTGTAATCAAGTCTCATTTTCTAAATAAAACTTGTGCTTTCATTTAAATATAAATGCTAATAAATATAAAGTGATATGAGCCACCTATTTTTCCTAATAGAAGAATTAGTCGCCCTTTTTAGAATTTGGCTGTTGTGAATTTTATGTTTAAAATTGAGGTGCAATGAAGTAGAAATTAGCTGCAAAGTGGTGATGTTAGGGAGGTGTACTCTGTCAATAACTGACAGGAAGTGATACTCTATAAAGATTACATTTTTGATGTGCTTGGGTCTCCATGAGAGTCCAGCAAATCTTAAATACACTTAATTCATTCATAAAATATTTGTCGAGTACCTAATATGTCCTTGGCACTATTTAAAGTACTGTGAGTACATTAATGAGACAGAACAGACAAACTTTCAGCCCTTTCTTTCTTTTTTTTTTAAACACCTACAGCACCCAAGATTCCTAGGTGGTCTCCCATCCAAGTACTAACCAGGCCCAACCCTGCTTAGCTTCCAAGATCAGGTGTGTTCAGGGTAGCCAGGCCATAAACTGCTTTCTGTTCTTGAATCAAGGTTCAGTTTCCTCAAAAGGTATATCTCTAGTCTTCGTTTGAGGTGGCTGCCTTGCTGCACTGGCCTAGGAGCAAGGATCTGAGGTTCCAATTGTTCTGTAAATAAAATTAAACCCATTCTCTTATTTTTAGTTCTATCCTGCTCACCACTTTCAGAGGTACTTGGCGCCTTTGATTCCTAAAAGTTTCTGAGGTTTTTGAGCGCTTTGCTTCTTGTTGTCTTCTTTCCTCTGCGAGGTCAGTTAGAACTCATTCTCTTTTTATCTTACCGAATAAATCACAGTGCTGACATTGCAGCTTCCCATTCTTTCTGTCCTGTGACTTTATGGCTTTATTAATTTTTTATTTTGGGGACTTTCAGGAGGAACTAGAGAAAAATATGTATGTCCAGTCTGCCATATTTTGCCAAAAATCTATTTACTATTTTAAATCGTATAATTTTTGAACATCACAAGATTTAAAAAGACATCAGTTACTTTTCTATATGTGGTTATATTAACAATGAGTTAAAACTGAAAACTACTGAAGTAATAAAATTATATAAGAAGTGGTTTTCATCGCTTTTGATTGACTGCTGCTTACTGAAAAGCTGGTTTAATTAGAGAAAGACAATGTCCCTAGACAATCAGGAGAAGGAATTCTGAGTACTGTAGAATTTGCTCTCACCAGATCCATCTCTATGCTTCCCTGCCACCTACAGGCCATTTTATTTGGCTGTAGTCTGTGTAATGAAAATGTGCACCTGAATCCACTTGAATTAGCCCACATTTCAC